TTTCGAGTCATCCACGTGTTCTATTTTCCATCCTGTGGTTAAGCCTCGTTGGAATTTGCTTTCCTATTTTCTTGTATTTTATTTTCATTGAGGCAAAAGCAGATTTTGTGTTACGATCCTGAGGTCTCATTTCATTTGTCTCTAGCGGTGTTTTTATCGTTTTGATCTGATGTGGAGTGGCTCCTTTAAACAAAATGTTAACACTTTTCCTTCGTTTCTTTTACGTGTGAATTTATATAGAAGAAATCCCATCGACACGAAGTTTTGTCTGGTAAACATGGAACAGCACGCTTATATTTCTTTGTTTGCTTGTCGAGTTTCGCACAAAGCCACTCGAGGGCTATCTGCACTAGTCGTTCCTAATTTATTGGTGAGAGACTAGAGGGAAGACAGCTAGTCAACACTACCTGTTGGGCTACTCTGTTCAACTATTGGGATTTGACCATCACTCTTATAACGCACCCACAGCTAAAAGGTCGAGTATGTTCGCTGATAGGATTCGCACCTGGGACATTTTCTTTGTTTCGTTCAACACTAGATGCTACATATGAGGCTATTTGCGTATAAACTTCTCTAAGTGTGAACAGTTACAATATAGGGAAGGCAGCTAGTCAATAGCACCTACCGCCAACTTTTGTCTGACAGAACAATAAAATTTGGCTTATACTTTCGATATTCTAAAGTGTAGAGCGGGTAGTTTTTATTTCCTTTGAGGCCACGGGATGCGAACCGTGAATCCTCAGGTTCACAGCTTTGTCCACTGGACTACACCAAATACCTTCTTAGTTAATCATTGCTGTTCATGTAATTTTGATGGAAGGAATTGTCAGAATTATCGTAACTAGAAGCGCTTTAGAAAACTAAATTTTCACAGCTTTCAGTGAGCTTGGGTGTTTGTTGAACTTCGTGGAATGCTATTGTAGGGCGGTGATAGTCAAAAACCATCCACCGCAAACTCTTGGGCTACTCTAGGCGAATAGTGGGATTGACCGTCACATTATAACGCTCCTTCGGCTGAAAGGACGAGCACATTCGGTGACGGGGTTCGAACCCAAGACTCGCAGATTGCGACTCGAGTGCCCTAACCACCTGGTCTCCTTCAGTAAGCTCAATTTATTTCAGATTTTTCGTGTTTTGACTTTGTTTTTAATGTCAAATGTATGATTGTTCTGTTTTAAGTTCAAAGAACCTACGTTACTCACAAGATAACTGGCCTTTATACACTTTTCACAGATGTCTTGAAGCAGTGACAAGTGGTTTGTTTGGATAATTTTTACATGAGTGACACATTATGCGACACATGAGCTAAATAGACAGTTCGGAGAATCGAAGGTTCAAACATAATTTAGGTTTTGGTTTGTTTGGTTATTTTAGAACAAAGCCACATTGGCCTATCTGCTGTGTCGAACCCAGGATTTTAGCGTTGTAAGCCCGTAGACTTACCGCTGTCCCATCGGTGGACGTCATAATTTAGAACTACTGACCTAATGAAGGGCAAGTAGTTAGCAGTATCCGCCGCCTATAAGACTAGGCTACACCGAATAGAGGAATTGTCTGTCATTATAATAACGCACTCACAGCTGAAACTATGAGCACGTTCAGCGTCACATTGCATGCTCAAACCTTGGACTTTCCGATTTGAAGACTGGCAGGATAACACCCGGACATGGGTTTATTTAAATTACGAAACACCTGTTTTAGATATTTGTTTTGCTAAGTGGAAACACAACGTATTGCTATGGTTACACATTCTGTCTTGAGTACCGAATCCATAACAAACTATTTTAAAATAGCAAAATAAATTAAAAATTATGCACGTCTCTACAGTTCCCGGAGAAGAACAGACGGAGAACTGATAGGACTTTAATATATATTTATATCTGCCATTCCTGATGACGTAATTGTTTCTAAAGGTTTTTTCAGTACCATATAATAGTCTTAATGGACATCTACCCATACTACCAGACAAACGTTCACGTGACTAAAATCCTCAGTATTATTGGTTATCTAGGTTAACATTCTACATATCTACTGTTGTCAAAGTTACAGCATCTTAGCATCTGTAGAAATTAGAACTTAAAAGTTGTCAATATTAAAACATCCTGCCATATAACAGAAGTTACAACTTAAACCTTCAGTGTTTTCCACTTAAAAGTTGTCAATATTAAAACATCCTGCCATATAACAGAAGTTACAACTTAAAACCTTTAATGTTTTCCACTTGAAAGTTGTCAATATTAAAACATCCTGCCATATAACAGAAGTTACAACTTAAAACTTTAGTGTTTTCCACTTGAAAGTTGTCAATATTTAAAACATCCTGCCATATAACAGAAGTTACAACTTAAAACTTTAGTGTTTTCCACTTGAAAGTTGTCAATATTAAAACATCCTGCCATATAACAGAAGTTACAACTTAAAACATTTCCACATAATATTTCAACGTTTGTAAAAGTTAGAACTTGTAATATTAAAATTGTTCCGATTGAGAAAGAGTTAAGAAATTTAAGGCCGATGTCTTAAAGTTTTGATATCATTTAGCAGTTGACAAACTTCAACATTCATAGCTTCTGAAGGTCGTCACAAAAACTGATATTCTGCCAATATACCTGATTCTGTTTCATGAAGTGTTGTTTAACCTTCACAGAATATTGTGAATATTTATTCGTAGGCTAAAGTTGTATTACAGTAACGTAATTACACGTTCGATACAGGATGATAAAGTAAAAAATCTTTCAAGGTAACCTACATCAAGTTCTTGTTCTGAATCACACGCATATATACCCGCAATCAAAACGCACAATACTGCTCCATTTCGTGCTCTTTCTTCTTTTGCTTCCATACAATTCATTCTTCGAGACTGTCTTTTATTTTTCTGTTAGATAATTTCATGTTTCGCGGGTCATTCCCGCTAGCGCGTCAATTTCCAACCTTGAGCCACCCCTAAGTGTCGTGTCTTCCATGAAACCATCTAAATAGCGGTTTTTCCTGTTTCGATAGTGCACCGAAACCTTTCAGACAATACAGGTCGGGATGTCCTATTCTTTCAAGGCGATCTGATTTCCTGAGACTCAGAGCTGCTTCCACCGATTTCCCGAATAACCGAGCGATGACATCACAAGATAACGCGCCACGTTTATTACTTCTCGAGACAATGGCGCGCGCGATTTATTCAGGCTTATCCAACTATTATTCGTAGACGTTCCAAACACTTGGTCCACATAAAATTAAACATGCTCCATTTCCACTCCTTTTTACCGTTATTATTTTCTCTTTCTCTCGAGGTATGTAAAAAAAAAATTAATTAAATAAAACCTACAGACATCCTGCACTCATAATCATGAATTGGTGTTTGGGTTTAGAAAAGGTTGGCGTCTAGAAGGATGACCAAATACTTCGACTTCGAGAAGACTTGATCTACTTACGCTCGTGTTACACGTTATTGTGTGACGTTTGTGGCGCGAGTAATTACAGTAAAAGTAACTAGCACTTATGAGTAAACAGCTGGTGGACTTTTGGGGTACTAAAAAACAAACCCTAGAATCGGGGTTAATGTTAATTACTGATAATCCGATTGTTTGAAATAATTATAGAAAAAAAAGGGGGGGGGACATCAAAATTTGGAAGTTGGTCTTTAAAAGAAATATCCGGAAACGTTTGTCAGGTTTTGTTGAACATTTAAATCACTCATTATGCATACAATTCTAAGCGAAAAAAAAAAAAATGGGGGGACATCAAAATTTGGAAGTTGGTCTTTGAAAGAAATATCCGGAAACGTTTGTCAGGTTTTGTTGAACATTTAAATCACTCATTATGCATACAATTCTAAGCGAAAAAAAAAAAAAAAGTGCTGCTTGAATTTTAATCATTGTTACCAAATTTTTGTCCCACCATTTTATTATATATTCTTCTTAGCAAAACAGGTCTCGTTATTTTCACATCGAAAGTGCCCCATCTCCCAGCGTCTCAGCGATTTACAATGCTAAGATTCAGGCTTCGATACCCGTGGTGGGCAGAGCACAGATTGTGTAGCATAAGGTCCACAAAAAATTTTCCAATGATAATTTGTTTGAAGTTAAGCACAAAGCAAGACAATGGGCTACCTGTGCT